AATTTCATCATCATCATCATGGCTAGGCTTCGTGAACAAAGATTTGGGAAGGACTCTACCCACATTTGCTACAAGTGCGCTGGTGGCTAAAGAGGCCAATGTGAGATAGATAAGACCAGTTACAAAAGGCACAGCAGAAAGACTCCTTGCATGGTATCAGCAAGACATGATTCTATCTGTGTTGTCTTTTCTCTTCGATGGTGATCCTGCGTGCGTTCTCAAAGGCAGCAGCGTTATGGGTAGTGTGTCTCCAGACCTCCCGACTGGAGGCCAGAGTAGACCAGTGATGAAGATCAATGTGGCCAAGGCTGAGATGTTGCTTCAGGGAGTCCCTGTATCTTCTCTTCGGGGCTCCTCTCTTGCGGCAGCCAGTGGTAAGTTCTCTATAGAGCACAATCTTGGGGAGGTGGTGGTCCTTCATCCTGGAGACGTGCCCTGCCCAACACAGCTGTGTTCTCAGTAACATGGCCTCAATACTTGTGACTGCTGCCTGTTCTAGAACAGATGTGTTTGTTACATAATCTGACCAATGGATGCTTAGGATTGGGTGGAGACAGCATTGATGAAAGTGTTCTAGGAGTCGAAGGTAGTGGAGGTAAATGACCCATGATTTGGACCCATATAAAAGAGTAGACAGCTACTGCCCTCTTAAAGATCATGTAGACTTTCTAGAATGTTTCATTTTACCTTACACTTGTCTGTTACCATTACTGCATGTTTTTTTAATCCTTCATTGCAGTCAGCTCCTTGCACTCCAAGCATCAACTGCTAATTACCCAAGGCAGAGCTTTTCAGTCCACTCAGTTACCAAGTTCTGTGGCTGCTCTCCTATAAACTTCCCCATTGTGTGCACTCCAGATGATTTCTCTGAGTTTCACTGATTTATGTAAATAAGTCAAATATTAAAATTAACCATCATTTATGTATTATTCTCTACATATACCTGCATAAATACATATTCCTAGGCTTAAAATACACAGTTATTTTTTTAATATAACTGATGACATAACAGAGACCCATCACTCATCTTGAGCTCATCAGTTTAGCATACCTTAATTTAAAGTAATTATTTTTGCCCTCTACATTCTACCCTATTATTATCTATTCATTGGAGATACCTCGCACATTTGCCAGTATTGGAAATGTGTACTTTTTCCATGTATTTATATTCACTGGGTGTTTTCCAGAGAAAGATCTCCATGGTTTTTTCTCTTCCCTTTTTTTCTCTTCTCTGTTCTGACCCTGCTTCCTCCCCTGTCACAGTTGTGGGACTTACTGGAGTCCTCATCCCTCAAAACCAGACTGGATAAAGTCCTGAGTAACCAGGTGTGATCTGAACCCTGATCCTGCTTTGAGCAGGTGGCTAGATGAGATGACTTCAAGAGATCTCTTCCTGTAGGAGTCGGGTTACAGGAAAGATGCTAGATGAGGCATCCTGGGAAATGAAGTCCCAAGTACTCCCGCACATGGGCAGTGAGATGCCCTTGGTAATTGGTCAAGGAAGTCACATGTTACTTTGAGGTGCATATAAAAGGTGTCGTTTCATTTGGATAAAGAGGATTTGGTGTTGACCCCCAACAAGCTAGCTGGGTCCATGTAATTCATTTACCTATTATATTAATACACCACACCTTCCAACCTGAATTATCATGTGATGCTATGATCCAAGTCACTTCAATCCTTCATGCAAAGAAAGCCATCCAACTTTTTAGTCAAGTTAAGGAGTTATAACATTACAGAGCACATGATCTAAATGACAGTAGCAGCAGGGACTGGAGAAGGCCTCCTCTATGCCACCTGACAGATGGCCCCTCGGCACCGTGTGGAACTGCAGTGTGATGTGCAACTATGCTGGGATACAGGATGTCATCCTTGATCGCTCTTTAATAAAATTCCCGTCTCATTCAGGGCCTTACACACAGAGGGCTCTCTGCATCTTGTCTTTTTTGCTATTATGCTGCATGTGACTCTAGCCTCAGTTTAAGCCTTTCTCTGGAGATAAAACAATTATTGTCTAAGCTTAAGCTTTTCTGTGGTGCTCAAATGTACACTGTGTGCTAGAGACTGTAATGTAGCATAAATCTTATATGTGTATTTCTATAACATTCAACACTACACAGCCTGCTAAAGACAGCTTTGAGGCAATCCTTACAACAAACATGACTGTGGCTTTTGTGCAGCATTCAACACTACAGTGTGCATTAATTCCCTCATAAGAAAGCCCTTTGGAATACATTTGTCTCCTATATAAGAAGAGAATACAGACAAGTAAATTCTTGAATGAGCATAAACACATGGTGCCTTCCACCATCCTGGCACCATAGGCTCTGATCTATGTCACCTACACAGAGGAAGAGAGGTGCCCTCCAGCTCTTCAACCCATATCAGAGGCCTCTTGTTTTCCCCGGTGTTTTCCAGAAGGCTGGCATGCCCTTTTCTTCTCTCCTCACCCTTGTGCTACAGGAGAGCCAGATTAAACAGCACAATGCTGTTTAATCCCTTAGAAGACCTACCTCTCCATACACCACACAGGTAAGAGGGGTCCTTTCTTGTCTTTCTTCAGACAGGAACAGAAAAGGGAACCTTAACGAGGGAACCAATCCATTCAACCCCTTGCAGTTGCAGTTAGTTTTTTCAATGTATCTTAGTGACTGCAGCTACGTTATCACTGTCATGGTTTGAGAGCCCCAAAATCCAATTCCCTAGTCCAAGCCCCCCTCCCACATCTTAGCTCAGTGTGAGATGGGTTTTCCAGACACCACACAAGACTCAAAATGGGGGGAAGCGATTATATATTACAGTGACTGTACAAAATAAATAGTATAATACATCATATACAATCTTAACTATCTCTACCATGATAAAACAGTATTTACAATGGATCAAATCTCTTCTCTCTCCAAATAAAAGTCCAGGAGGGAAGAAGGAAGAGATCCTTTCCACTCTTAGAGCAGCAGTGTCTCTAGGGCAGCAGGCTCTCTTCTTTCATGCAGCAGCTGTAGTTGGATCTCTGCCAGTACACAGAATGGGGGTATCCAAGCCCCTCGGCCCTTCGACTCCAAGTGGGGGTCTTCCTCTCCCATGGGCTGCGTTCACCCGGACAAAGGTCGCTTCACCACATCATATCAATGAAGTGCAGAAGCCTTTGTGACAGTCCTTATCTTCAGGGGATTCAAGCCCCCTTTGCAGAACTCCCGTGCTCTGTCTCAAAGCAGTAGGGGGCAAAGCCCTCCTTCGCATCCTTTGGCTGTCCCGGTTCAGCTCCGGGAAGCCCTGAGCTTTTCAGCTCCTCTCTGCAGTGCTGTAGCACTCCAAGACTCTTCTCAAGTAAGAGTCCATCATCCTCCTCTCTCTAGGAGGTCTCAGAGGGGTTTTGGGAGTTTTGGTTTCAGTTCTTACCCAAACTCTCTCTCTCTCTCTCTCTGTAGAGCTTAGTTCTGCTCTCTCTGCTGCTGGCTCTCTTTCTCTTCAGACAACTGTGTCTCTCTTCCTTGGCTGCAATGCCTGTTTGCTGCTCCTTATCTTCTGCTGGCTCTCTGCCACTGTTTCTCTGGTCAGTGCTGGTCTGCCGCTGCTTTCAGTATCTCTTGCTGCTGCTCACAGTGGAGAAACATTCCCCAGCTCTTAGCTACAGATACTTAGTCCAGCTTAACACTGTTCCAAGTCCCTGCAGCCCCCCAGCCGGGGGCTGGGGTGGGGGCAGAGCCCCAGTGGGGCTCCGGGCCCCTCAGCTCATGGCTTCACAACATGGCCACCACTCTCCAACAACAACAACTACAACAGTCACATAACACAATGCCTAAAAATATTTTTCATAACTGCCACTGTTCAATTTCATTAGCTACCAGTACTCAGAAATCTCTAGGTAATTTTCTTTACTAGAAAGCTGAAAAGTCTTCAATCATTCTCATATATTGCAGCATCCTATTTTACAATTCTAAGGCTCTAACTTTAAAAGCTCTGGCCTACAGAGCTTTGACACTAACACTTGTAATACGTGCTGAAAACTCTGAAAGGAACACCACTTTCACAAGTAAAAAGAATGTTAACAAAAGGTTGTATTCTTATAATACATTTTAACCAGTTTAAGGGCTGGCTGGTGCTGGAAGAATTATACACCACAGCATATCTCTTGCCTTTGGCAAAAGAACTGGAACTTCTGCATCAAAGAGTGGAACCTCAAAAGATTTGGTTATGCTTAGATAATGATAATCTTAATGATTCAGTGGTTGCTCTACTTCAGGCATGGCTGTAGAGCTGGATCCCTTTAGATCCCAGCTGGATCTACACGTTTACTTGTTCAGAAGGTGAGTTGTAAGAAACACTTCCTCCACCTTTAGAAATTTTCACTGGTGGGTTTTTTTGTGTTTTTTTTTTTTTTTTTTTTTTTTTTTTTTTGCTTTGTTTTGTTTTTTAGGGTGAAAGAACAAGCTGAGTAGTAACCTATTGATTTTCAGGTAAACCTTTATGAGATATATTTCCCAGAACAGTTATTTTAGAATTCATTTCACGTAAATTGAACATCTGCACATCAGAAAACAAATAAGCCCTGAGTTAACACTTTCTTGTGAAAATCAAAGCAGCTATCTAGCAACTATCTTTACCATTTTCTACTTGGTAAGACAAGATTATTTTAAAGGAATCATCTTGGGAAGAAGCAGCTCTTACAAGTGTCTATTCATACCTACTTCACAGAGCCATTTTTTTCAGCTAAGGTTAGTCTAACACAGTTCAAAAGTTTTAGTCTCTGTTAAATGTTAGTTCTATAAAATGACAACAAACATACTCCAGAGATATTGACTAGATTTTGTTAATAACAGAGTTCAGCTTTGTAGGCACTAGGCACAGACACACCTACAATATTTAGTCTGTATACCTGCCAACTCAGAAAGCCAAAATATTTACATCTTTTATTCGCAGACTAGCACAAAGCTATACTTTTTTTTTCTTTGATTAGCATAGCATTACATTAACATCTTCTAGTCAAAGAAAAACTACTATAAATCTTATACATGTTTAATAAACATTACAAAGTACATGTATTGCACATGAACTATGTAGCATGTACGACTTAAGGCATGGATGTGTAGTCTGCTTGTTATAGTGACTCAGGAAATAGACTGGAGGATTGTGTAAACATCCTTGTTGCCTATGCTTTGGTTTTCTCTTCATAAAAACTGTATGTGCTTGTGTGTTGAAGAGACGAGAAGACCACCAGTGTGCATCACTGGATCTCCTTCCAGGAAGACCCTGATTTTCATCAGAAAGATAGAAATTTGGGAAAAGTCTCTGGGTGCATAATGGTTAAAACTTTAAAAGAAGGAAAAGGTTTCTACAAAACCTCATGCCTTCCCTGGACTTCTGGTTGGATTGCTTAAAGAGAAATCAAAATTATTGACTAAGGGGGATGGGGGCAGGGAGGTGGATGGGCTGTAAATCCTAATTTGATTTGATCTTGTCCACAAACTGAAATGGTCACCTCAGTCTGAAATCAAATGAAAGACGGGTATTTCCTAATTAGACAGTGTAAATTGTGAAAAGTCCTTCCAGGGGATATTTTCTTAGAAACTCAATCAAATGTACTTAGTAAGGCTGAGAAAACTGGGTTTGTTCAGCCTGGAAAAGAGAAGGCTTAAGGGTGACCTAACTGCAGCCTTCCGGTACCTGAAGGGAGCCTGCAAGAAAGATAGAGAGGCACTTTTTACAAGAGCATGCAGTGACAGGACAGGGTGGAATGGATTAATGCTAGAAGAGAGTAGGTTTGCTCAATGAACTTGTGGATGCCCCAGTCCTAGAAGCATTCAAGGCCAGGTTGGATGGAGCTCTGAGAAACCTGGTCTAGTGAAAAGTGTCCCTGTGTATCGCAGGGGTTTGGAACTAGACGATCTTTAAGGTCCCTTCCAACCGAAACTATTCTACGATCTGTGAACAAATTATTTGGACATTTAAATATTTTTTTTTTTAAAAAAGGCAACCCCTGGTTTTTGTTTTCTTTCAAAGAAAAACTGAAATGCATAATGATTAGAGCTGATCTGTGAATGATGATGTTCATAATTATACATTTGCTGAACTCAACAACCTTTCAAATGAGGATACAAGACTGTAATGTGATTGAACCAAAAGGTCAATAATGTTGAAGATCCTTTGCCCAGGGCTACTAGATCTAATGAGCCTGTAAGTACTAATAGATCAAAGTCTAGTTGTAGTTGGGCCTGAAAAGCTGAGGCAATTTACTTAATGAAACAACAGACATCCCTAGACTTACACTACAGCAGATGATAATATATCTGGCTCAAAATTTCAGCTAATTCCACGTATAAGACAACCTCCCACAAAAAAGCTAAACTGGGAGAAAATAGCAGTAGCATCTGATAAATGCAGATTGGTTAGGGTAACAAACAAACAAACTCATAAGAAGAAACTGAGTAACTTTTTTCTGCCTTGATTATCTGTGGGCTGTTGATGAGGTGAGACTTTCCCTTATGATTTGAATGACAAAGTAGGTTCAGTGGAGCAATTTCTTCTAAACTTATGGTTTTAAATTCGTAGCTTAACTTCTCATCAGCCTTCTCAAGATGATCTTGTTCCCTGCCCATACGCAAAAGGCAGGAATTGAAAGCCATGTGTCTGGTCAAACCCACAGAATGCTTCACACTCCTACATAATACATGGTTTTCTCCAATATGTGTCCAGGTGGCTGCATCAGTATGTGCAGCACAGGAGAATTGGTAGGAGTGACAGAGATGATCATTCTCTCTTTCACACTTTCTCCTTTCAGCCCAAGTACCAAAGCAGTGCAGGTTACTGCCGGCTGTCTCCACAGGGACTTCTGCAGCTTTTCCCCCGCTCCAGGAACTACGGCAGTCCTGACACACCATTTTGTGAAACAGTCACTGAAGCTAATTGTCAAGAATAAGTAGATGGATCACAGAAGGAATTAAAGTTACTTATATCTCGTATAGCAGTTATTTCTGTTCAGTAGTCATTGATATGCTACTCCTTATATAACAAAATTGAAATTGGTCCCTCTTTAGGTGTACAGTTGCATTTTATTTCAAGACATGACAGAGTAATTTGAATAAGTTTCTTACAATTATTTTCCTATTTCCCAGGTGAAAGTAATTCAAGGGACTTTCCTACTTAAAACCAAACTTTAAAGCATACTTCAACATTCTTGCCCCATAATCTGATGATTTAAAGTCTCTCAACACTACCACTCTAGTGGTAAAATATTTCCTCTAATAAACCTTATGCAAGGGGAAAAACAACAAAGAGCTCTTCAGAATCCACTGCTATCCCTAACTGAAGTTGAAATACACACATATAAACAAAAATTATCATGAGATAGTGAACAGTAATACTTACATGTCAAGAAACAAAACCTTCCTCTAATGTATCCCTTTTTATTGAAAGGCAGCTTGTAGTTATTATCCCTTAAAAATTATGAATGTCAATCACTAGCTTTCAGCTGAAATTATTTTAGCAGGTAAGGTTATTCTAGTCGTTCGGGGTCAACAACAGCAGGTGAAAATCATTTACTGAAAGAACATCCTGTCTTTCATCCCTGAAGAAAACCCTAAAGGAAAAAAAAGCAACATTAAAAATGTAAGCACCAAATGTAATGACAATAACAGTTTTCCCTTATAAATTAACATTTCCGGGACTTTTTAATATTAGTATGCTAAAGAAACAGATTTTATTAAGAAAAATCTGGTAAACTTTTTTTTAAAATTATGTATTTAAGAAAGTTGTTGTTATTTTTTTGTTATCAGTCAGCACAGGGAGCTGCCAATGACAGTTCCACATGGCTGTTGTTTCTTGACTTGTATGCTATTGCATGAAGCCAAAGCAGGTCAGGAAAAAAAAAAAGGAAAGAAAAAATCAATCAAGAAAGAAGTAATTTTAGTACTTCTAAGGTAATTTTCCATTGTGAAAATCTAAAGTTGTCCCAATCAACATTTGACTTCTTTGAAAAGAAGCTAGTGTTGGCAGGCGTGAATAAAAGGTCAACAGAAGCCACAGATCCAGAAGAATCAAAGAAATTGCAACTTGGAGGGAAGTGGGCCATGTAAAGATGAAAAAGCATAGACTACCATAGTTGGCATCCCCACTCCTAGTTCTTCTTTTGTCCAAAGTAAGAAATAACTTTAACTGATTGTGCCACTAGAGATTGCTTCTTTATATCCACTGATTCAGTGGCAGTGTACCATTCTCACCTGCATAAAAGAGGGAAAAAACACTTTATTCAGCCAGCTTTCATTTTATCACAAGTTTAATAATCGGTTGGACTAAATATATAAGGAATAATGACAATCACTTGTCTTAGTAGGCCTGAAAGAATGATCTGGAGCAGGACATCTTCTAAAACCATTCATGAGAAGTACTAGTCAGAGACTTAAATGGAATTTCTGCAATTTGAGTAGTCCAAGTTATCTTTCGCCATATCTTTCCCCTTATCACAATAGATCACTGCATTTTCAAAACTGACTTTGGTTCTTGTGTGCTTTTCTTAGACTCATGCATCTGTGAATATTTAGAAGATTATTTAAGTAGGAGTTTGAGAGTTTGAATTTCTGTTTTGTTGATTAGTAATTTTAATATATGAACAGTCGAAATGTTGAATCTTGCATGACATCATTTCTGTAACTCCAAGATAGACAGGACTTATTTGAAGTTGAAAAGACTGTTATTTCATTTGGGAAAAGATAAATACCCAAGAAAGTGCTGAGCTATCAAAACAATTCTGAGATACAAATTACATCCTGAGCTAATCATTCGCATTCACTGCCAAAAGCATCTTCCTTCCTTGTTTGCTTACAGTATTAGAAGTAGCAGCTGCTGTTGAAATCTCCCCTGGAGATTGTTAGGATATCCATGAGGAGAAGCTTTTCACTGGTGTCCAATTTCAATAAGTCACAACTGCAAATTTATTGTAGGTGATAATTTGTAGATAATGATGCAGAAAGGTGGCACCTATTTTAATACATGTCAGCCAGTGTTGACCTTTCTCAGTAGATGTAACTACCCATCTATCATGGCAAATCACTGTATCTTGTACTTCTGCACTAATGGCAAGCTCCATTTCTCCCACTCCCACAGGTTAGTACGCCAGGTGCTCACTGCAAGACATAAGGTATTGACTGTAAGACATTACCCTTACAGCACTACTGCTGAGGTCAAATATCCTTCTAGATGACTTCAGAGACATACTTTGGTTCCCAGTAAAGTAAATGAGGAACTCTTAATTCTGGTCCATTTATGTGATTGTTTATAAATACACATTGCCTTTCCCAAGGCCAAAAACTCTGTGAAAATAGATTGATGTGCATAAACCACAATGTACATAAACCTTGCACTGCAGGGGTTGAAGGAATGATTTTTATTGCTGTAAGATTTTTTCAACCAACCTTCATTCACTGAATGGCAGGGGAAATGCATTTTAGATGCAAATAGCACAAAAAATAAAGGAAGTGCAGAGGTTTCCATTGAAGGTTGTTTTCTGGTATCTTAGTCGATCTCCTAAAATCAAACACTTAAACAACAGCTTTGGAAAATGCTGCTCATACTTATTTTTGTGCAATTAAGGTCAGAGATGCTTTAATTATTGCTTGCTTTAAGCAGAGCATCCAAATGAACTTCTCTATGATAAATTAAATATTGACAAAGAATAGGGTATTTCTGAGCAGGCATCAGTAACAAAAAGAAAAGTCTGTTTAAAAATAAAAAAGGTGGCCAATAGACCAGCTTAAAGAAGGGTGTTGTCTTTTAAAACCAGGTTATTTATTAAAGTTCCTGTGCTTTCTTTTTTGACTCTTATGTCCTTGTTTTGGCAGGTTTAATGAAGATTAATAGCCAGTTTAACATATCTTATGCTACTGATTTAAAATTTAAAGAAGGGTACAAAAACCTCAGTGTTTTCTTTTCCATCTCCAAACTGTTATCTGTGAAAACCACTCTGTATTCTAAGAAGAACAGTTTATAGCTTCAGCAAATTTTTATGAAATGAGTAATTATTAATATACTGCTTGTTTTCCTTGCTTTGTATCTGATTATTATATATTCTACCTAGTCATCAATTCTTAAATTATAGTAATGAGAAGAGGTAGTAAATATCTCTGAATTATGGAGTAGATAGGAAAATGTAGCATAATTATAAAAATATATAAAGGGAAAATATTAATAACATCAAAATTACTGGTAATTTCTCATATCATTCAACACATAAAGAAATAGGAAATTTTCCACTTTTGTATTTATTCCTGAATACTGTATTTTTAATTAAAAAAAAAACCTCACTGAAAATATAATTCCAGTGAAATATCTTTACAAAACCAAATATCATCAATTATCTAAACGTTAATATTAAAACACTGGAGAATCTACCACAGGTAGGAGATGGAATATATTTTATCTATTTCTTCTCCAATTACTGTATACTTTCTCTTACGTAAGTCCAAATCTTTGGATGACAAGATGAGCACCTGAAACTTCTCTTGCGGTGTGGCTTCCATTCAGTTAGTTTTGCCCTCTTATGCCATGCATCTCCTGAGGGAGAACAGAAGTGCTGCTCTGGGAATTAAGCTATTCAGATCTCTGTCCATTGGCATTCAAAATTATCTACTCTACTTTCATTCTCTATGTTATTTGAAAAGCACAGCGACAGGAGTTAGAATTTACTCTAAAGAAGAAAAACCTAAGTGGTTTGCCAGGATACTCTGTTTATATTGACTTAGTGAAAATATTCACATCCAGCACAATCCCTTCTTAGCTGTTAGCATAGGCTTCCCCATATTAATAACATCTTGTTTGAGCTTGCTACTCATCTCACATTAGTCAAAACCTGGATCAAAGCCAAATGAAGTTAACAGATTTACTCTAGTATAAATCTACTGTAAAAGAAATTATTTTTTCATGCAGATTGACTTGTCTTGCTTTTCAGATTTCTTTGCCCATGCATGTAAAACAAGCCACTTTATATGCTGCTCAAGGATAAAAACCTATCATGCAGAAGTTGAAATTTACATCCAATTTCTTTTTACCCAGTAGATCCTATGCGTCAAAAAAATAAAACATAAACAGTTCCTATTTCTTCCCAAATAGATCTTTTGAGTTCTGTATTCTTCTATGTCTGAAATTATTTTGTGCCTGCCTCTCCATATGTCAACTTACTAGAAATTTTAGCTATATATCTGTTACAAACATAATACCTTATCATACAGAATTATAGGTCAACTTCTGTGTTTTAGCAAGCTGTGCTTTCCTAGTAAATAATGCTATCTGATACAAGAAATAAAAGAAAACAAATGCTACAAAATTATACCAATATAGTAGTGTAATGTTCCTAAAAAAGTTGCAGTCACATACATTTTCCAAACCTATTTAAACTAACCATTTGGATTGATTCACTGGTGTCAGTATCAACAGAAGTGGAATCTTTCAGTAATACTTGAGAAAAAATATATTTTGAATGCTTTATATTTGAAATTACTATACAGAGGGTGAAAAAAAAATCAAATTATTTGAAAAATAAAAAGTTAAAAATACTCTGTCGCATAAAGAAAAAGTGAAATAATTTTCAAAGAATGAATTTGACAAACACTGATTCATGCCTATCCACCAGTGATAATGAATATTTAGTGTGGTAAGAGTGTAAATTTCTATGGAAGGAAGGAAAAGAAATGCAATTCCTTTATTAAAAGAATTTAATATGAAAGAATCTCAAAAGTTGCAAGTAATACACACTTCAGAATCCAATGCTTAAAAATTATATTGTGAAAAAATCTATTATGTTAATCTTGTACTTCCTAAATAAAAATCAGTTGGTTCAGTACAGTGATTTAGACAGCCTGTGGATACTGTATTACTGCTTACATTGTCTTAGCCCATATAATTCCTAGCTGCACCCATACAGAAAAGAACTGGATTTTTACTGTGCATAAAACCACTGGAAATGAAATCACGCCTTAGGTCAGCCAAAATTATTGCAGAAGTACACAACACTGTGTACGTGCTCTCAGTAAAATACAACTCCCTTTCCCAGTACCAGGGGATATTTTTAAATATTAGCATAAATGCCTGGAGAGAGTTTACCATTACTGAAAAGCTCACACTTAAGTTAGATATGGAAAGTAGGAGAATTGCTCTTCAATTTCTGATGAACTTTAGTGTAGCCAACGTTTCACTTCAAGTACTGGATATGCAAATGGCTCAGGATAGAAGGAAGACTGTGGCAAATCTGTTTGGTAAAATAATTTGCTTGATAAATGGAACAATACAACAAAGGAAGTGTTCAGGTCATTACATGGTTACTCACTGGACTGAAAAAAAAAAGATAATGAGATACAGTCAGAAGAACACTATATGCAACTGATAAAGTGGGACTGATTCCCAGATGACACCTGTTACAATTTCATTGTAGTTATGAGCTATGTGGAGCTTCACTGATTTATGACACCTGAAGGCATAGCTTAATTTCTGTATATTTCCAAAAAGAAATTATTCCTACCAAATTGCCAACAGTATTCTGAATTTTCAGGTACAGTGCTTTCAAAAATGGGAAGTTTGTGCCTCTATTAATTATGTCATGCATGCCTTAGAAATTTTAGATTGAAAAGGATGAGTTAACTTAAAAACAATGTCATAATAATAGCAGTCTGAAGAGACTGATAGGTAGGTACCTAGATGCAGAAATGGGCTATCAATCATACGTGAATGAAAGATACCCTTAGTTATGACTTTAAACATTCCAAATATAAATTATGTATTTCTTAGGTAAATAATCTTGTTAAATTCATAATGAGCAGACATGTACTTAGCAACTACTAAATTCAGAGCATCATAGGGGAAAATATAGTGTCATAAAATAGTGTCACTTTCCACATTCCACTTCATGACAGTCTGTGTATTTCTCTTATTAGTTATTTTGAAGCCAATACAGAACATGCAGTTTCCATAGTCAATGTACCTTATGGACATGTACATGACAGGAAAAAAAGTAGGATAAAGCAAGAGGACTAATAAAAATAACATTTTATATTTGATTTAATAAAAATGTCCTTGCTTTTCTGCCTGTAGCAGATCCAGTGAAAATATATATAGAATATAGAATAAATTGTAGGCTGCAAAAAAAGATGGAAGTTGTGAAAGTAGAAAAACAAAAAGAAGAAAGAATGGAGGCAAAAGTGAAGCTAACAAACCCTTACAATTTGAAACTCAGAACTGAAAAATGTGAGCATTTCTATCTAAATTTCAGTTTTCACTAACTGATTTTGCAAACTTACCTGTGCAAGACAGGCAACACAAAACTTAATAGCTTGTACAGTTGTTTAAACAAAGTTATTTATACTAAATTATGCTTCTGCAGGCCATTTCCCTGATGGCAACGCCTGCTTATGCTACTGCACTAATTGTTCACCGTTACTCTTATGGTATTAGGCTCCCACCATTTTGCTAGTTCTTTCATATTGCTGTAGAAGATCATCAACGGTGCTGTGCAACACTGCTGCTAATGAGGCCTGGTTCACATAAAACAAAATGAAGTTATTTGTAGTCAAGATCAGTTCCTCTATTTAACTTCTGGTGCATCATCATGAAACAAACAAACTGAAAAACCCAACAGGGCTGAGAAAAACAGAGATGGCAGCATAGGGGTGGCAACAGATGACTGACAAAGATGAGGAGACAGGTGTGAATTGCTTTAATCCAGAATCACTTCAAAGGAAATGGTTCTGCTCTCCAAGACTGCAAGAAACCATAAATGACAAAAAAACCTCTGAAGCATAAGAAAAGAGAAAGCCAACACTGGGGAGATCAGAGGCAGAGTGGATTTGTAAACAGAAATAGCAAGTTTTGTGGGGAGGTGAAGCAATCTTATGAGTAAACAGCACTGTTCTTTCACAGTTCACCTGCTTCATGTGACTCAGGGAGTGCAGCAAAGTCTGCAGCAACTCTGCAGAAGGAGTGGGGGATGAGTAAGCAGCTTATACAACTCAGAGGAGGAGATGCAAATTAGTCGTCTGTGGGACAAATAAAGAAATAGCCAGTCAAAGATCATAACCATAAAGCACATAGCAAGAAAAGAATTATAGGGTTAGTGGCTAGAATCAAATCCAACACAATGTGTAAAGGCAATAAGACAAGGAAAATATAATTCCAGAAAGTGAGAAGAGAAATGCTGAGCAATTTGCTTGATATTTATTCTTGACACTAAACAAGGGCACTAATGAGACCATATTTGAAATGTCGCGTTGATTTTCTGTCTGATTCATTACCCTATAGATAAATATGACTATGGGAAAGCTACAGCTTTGGCAGACAGCTACATACATATCTGTGAAGTAAACAACACCAGGAAAGGGGTTGTAGCCTAGTGTTTGAATATCCACACTTTAACCCTTAGCTTGCTTTCTGGCACTGTACTGTCCAGGAATTCAGCTGACTAATTAAGGTCCAGCTTGACATTAGCACAGCTATTAGACTTTGCCACTGTTTCACTAAGAAAACTGGTACAAACCTGTGATGGAGTCCATTAATTACAACAATGCAGATCAGAAAAGCAAAAATTCACAAGTTAAATAATTCAGGTGATGATGCTCATTGCCTCTTTCAAAGATCCATTTCAGCTTCCACCCATGCCAATTTATTTACTCTCTCCCAGTCTACATACATACCTGATTTCCTGGGCAGCCTTTTAGTTATATGCAAGTTCCTTTCCGAGATCTCAAACCCCTTTAGAAACCTTGTAAACCTTGCTGTCCTAGGGAGCATGGAGTTAGCCTTCACGCAGCAAAAGTGAAGTATTGTTTGAGCATCTGGAAAACAGGTTGTGAATACGTGTATTGGCATAAATTCCTGAACTGTTGGTCCCTTAGTCAACAATAAATGACTGCAAAATGTACAGATAGACTTTTAGAGTCAGAAGCAGTTTTGGATGGATACATTTTAAAGAATATAAGAATATGCCATGGTCTTTTAAAGGCAATTCTGTGTTTGTACCAGGTATAAGAAGCTTGGCAGAAACAAACTAGAGAAACTTTGCAATTGCATTAAATGAAAGACCATAAAAATATACTAGTTTTAAGATTCAGACTACATAAAGAAAGGACACATAACAGTTTAGGAACGGACTTATTAAAATACTAATTCTCTCTTCAGTCTATATATTTGAATAATATTTCATTTGTATCATTTTTCTGAGAAGAAAATCATGTTTTGAAAACTTGAGAATCTGTGTGATAGCACTGTAACATAGATCTTAAGTGGGTGATGTGGAATAGCCATAGTAAAAATGAAATGCATAAAATATTTGTCTATTGGCCATTCACCAGTGGACATGTGCTTTTAAAGGCCTTGTGACACTGAGGATAGAAAGAATATGGAGGGGGGGAAAAAACCCCCCGAGATCACACTCTGTAAAGTCTGCTTAGGAATTTCTTGAGCACAAGGATAATGAGATTTTCCCCTGTGGAAACAGCTTTCATGAAGGCATTTACACATTCTAGGTAAATTCTAATTAAATTCCACTTGCACATGCATGAACTAATGACCTCTACTGGGTAGATGTTATCCAAAGATGACTATAAAGAAAATATATTCAGATTATCCTATGCCTGGAATGACCGGTTTCCTATACTTTCTCTGAATTCACTGTCCATATCTGAATGACCCATACCCAAATGGCATATAACTTTTACTAATGGGAGACTAATTGAGTCTCTTTAATAAGAATATTAATGATTTCTAGAAAAGAAAAGGTAATGCAAAAAAACATTTTCCTCTATTTAAAACATTTGAAAATAATTGGATATTTCCCTCTCTTACTACACAACAGCTCCTCCAGTAATTTAATGTCAGTCCTGTTTATCCTTGACAAGGTAACAAACCATGAAAGTCAGCATTATTACCTTGGTAAAGCCATGAAATCCTTCATCTGCTACCATGATCTGTACAAGCCAGTGTAAGGAAGAGTATTAGAGTAGTGGCAAGTCATTTGAATCCCTGTCAACTTAGTTCCTGCATGCATAAAGAGGAGACCAAGTTTATTTATATCATCTGCCCAAAGGGTGTGTCCCAGGGTCCCTGCACCCAAATTTTAGCTCACTTTCTTCTATGGCCTTCATTGGTGATGGTAGGAAAACCATTTGTTTCAGTCAAGCAACACCTGAGGTTTCTGAATCAAATTAACCTTTTGAAGCTGCCAGCTACATCATTGGCCCTAATGTGTTTAACATGGCAATATATAGCATATAACCACACATTTTGTGGGAATAGCTCACAAGTCATCTATAAAATAAGTTCTGATAATCAATTGCAATGCAAATTATTCTACCTGTGGTCAACGCTTAACCAAAGAGGACCTCAGTTTCCAATTTCCTGCTCTCTGTTTTCTGTTAGCTCCCCTGCTTCAACCTCCACAGCATCAGAAGCAGTGAGGTAATGTTGGTAATGTGATGACTCACTCCTAGAGCACCTTGTGCTTTTAAATAGGGCCACTTCATAGAAGCAGAGTAGAATGAAGCACAAACTCACAATCTTTTAAGTTCCTTTAAATTCTGACCACAGTTAAATTTGGTTGAAAAGGGAAAGAATCTACTAAAGGAAAAGAAAAAACCCTATTAAAGTACATGTGATTCTATGGAGGAAATATATATATAAACACTTCTAAAATAAAATGTTTCATCTTCTTTTCCTCAAGGATGAAAGACTTGGTCTCAACTTTTTAGCTTTCATTTTCACATGAGAAATCCTACATATATGTTAGCTCTTATACAAGCTTTTCTTTGAGACTTGAACAAATTCTGAAAGCTTCATGACCTTTCTGCAGAAGCTTGATTTTTCACCTGTGACATTCATAAGCAAATGCAAGCTCTTGTTCTAAAAAAGATATAATTAAAGATGTCTTGTGTTTAGCCCCAGCCAGCAACCAAGTACCACGTAGCCACTCACTCACTCCCCCACCAGCAGGATCTGGAAGAGAGTCAGAAGAGGAAAAGTGAGAAAACTCGTGGGTTGAGATAAATACAGTTTAATAGGGAAAGCAAAAGTCATGCATGCAAGCAAAGCAAAACAAGGAATTAGTTCATTGCTTCCTATGGGCAGGGAGGCGTTTGCCACCCTCAGGAAAGCCAGGCTTCATCATGTGTAATGTGACTTGGGAAGACAAATGGCATAACTCTGAATGTCGCCCCATTCCTCCCACTTTATATACTAAGCATGATGATCTAGAATAGATATGATATAGAATATCCTTTGGGTCAGTTGGAGTCCCAGCTGTGTCTCCTCCCAGTTTCCCACAAACCCTCAGCCTCCTTGCCAACATGGCAGTATGAAAAGCAGAAAAGACTGGCTCTGTCGTTTCTTACAGCAGACTGTAAGCACTGCTCAGCAATAACATAAACATCCCTGCATTATCAACGCTGTTTCCAGCACAAATCCCAAACACAGCCCCATACCAGCCACTGTGAAGAAAATTAACGCCACCCCACCAAAAACCAGTGCAATTGCCCACAGTATTTATTAGGGTTTTTTCAGCTGATGAGAACAATAAATAAACCAACTGTGTACTATTTATTTTAAAATAATAGATATCATAGGTTCTTTTCCAAGAGGGATACAGTCGTTCTTTGTCATGTAATGGTGATTTAAACTTTCATAAAAAGAGAATCATAGAAAGGCTTGTGTTGGAAGGGACCCTAAAGATCATTTATTTCCAACCCCTTGCTGCTCATCCACTGCATGAGGTTGCTCAGAGCTCCATCCAATTTGACCTTGAGCATTTCCAGGGATGGGGCATCCACAACTGCTCTGGGCAAACCATTGCCGTGCTTCATTAAGAGGGTTTATATCTCAATTTTCAACATGCTGCAGGGGTATAAAGTAGTATTACTAAGTATATTACAACAGCTACAAGTCACATACGCATATTTAGATGACAAACTAAACCAGCTGCATGTAATTTTTATCTGGTAGAAATAAAAACACCACCTGGCTCTTCCTCTCTGTTAAAAGCATTTCAGGAATAGACATATCATAGGGTATGTGACAAATTGATTTTTACAGCTTTTGGATTTATTGCTTGGTGTCCTTTATTCCATTATGAAGTCTTTTAAAGGCCTATGATTAACATAAAGCAACATATGAAGTATTATTTTATACAGAGGTTTGTTCAAAGACATTTGCTGGTCTAAACCCTATGTCCTGCACTGATTTGAGACTATGTAATCCTCAGGGCTGCTTGTGATTCTCTGCCTGCCTGCAACCATCTTCCTTCCCCACTTCCCCCACCCCCCTTTACTAACTACCAGCAACTTCTCTCATTTACCTAATTCTGTTCATGACCCCAGAAGAGATCATTGGTCCCAAACTGGCAACACCCTTTGGGCTCCTGATAGTACTCTCTAGCTCCCCCAAGACCATTAGATTGGCTAGTGCTAGAAATGAGGAATCCACTATCTGCAGCATGTGCAATTCCCTGCTTGTCAGGAAAATAAACAGGAGGTGTGCCCTGTTCAGTGTGAGGGACCTGCAATAATAAAAGGTCCATAACTAATAGTTTTTCCTAAAAAATAAATAAAGAAAAAGGAGCAGCCAACTATGTTACCTAGACATTAGATAAAGGGGTGGAGGGGGCAGGGGACGAAGGGAATCCTAACGGATGCTCTCCCTTTGACTTAATTCGAAGTTTGAACTAAAGTGCAGACATGTTCATGACTTATTCATATCAGGCCATATGGATGAAAGTAATGCCTTATTCCTGAAATCAAGATATTACGCAAATGTACCTCTTTACTTAACTCTTGTTAAAAAAGTTGATGTGACAATTCATAACTATAAACTAGATGATTTCGGTGTATACTTGCTGCTATCAAATCTAGATCTCTTTGAGCCTGAGATGCTGGTGGTGTTGAGAAAATAGCATTAACAGGAAAAACTAATTTTTTTTTTTACAATTAATAACTTACAAATATAGACAGATACTTAGATGAACTTTTTTTTCATTTAATTTAGGAATAATAGCACAAATTCTAAATCAAGGACATCTCCACTGCTCCAAGTGATTAAAATATGCAATGCCAGAAAGACTAATTTATCAGTACAACTACTTTCAGCCATACTATAAGAGCTAATGCTTTTTTTAATATGCTATTGCTGTTATAAAAATTCAAACCACTCATTAACTGTCTGTAACAATTTTTATGGATTTATTGCTTAATTAGGTTTGTACCTTTATTTGACAGAGGTTATTAAATACAGCATATACTCCTCTCAAGTCTGTGTAAAAGCCCAAGTCAGTTTTTATGGGAACCTATATTAAAGCGCAATTCAGTGGAAAAATAAAATCTCTTAATTCACTTCAGGGAGTCTTCTTATGGCCTATTATAACAAGTATCTATTTATTTACATGCTTTCATAATTTTTTTCTGACATTTTTTCTGATTAAAAAAAGATATGTTTTTAAATACTAAATTATGATTTTTCTCCCTCAAACACCCATCTGCTCCTTCTCTGTGGTGCTGTGGTTAAACAATGTTGGATTTATGGTACCTTCCTCAGGGAAAGATGGTGGATACTATGAATGTCACAGTCCCATTTCTCTTAAGCCCAGGGAAGCAGTGCATGCCCCAACCCTGTGTTCAAGGCCAGGTTAGATTGGGCTTTGAGCAACCTGATCAACTGGAAGGGGAGTTGGAACTAGATAACCTTTAATTTCCCTTGAAACTCAAACCATTATATAATTCTATGATTCTTCTGGGACAAGCAGGAAGGGAACACTCTTTGTCAGCGGACATCTAATCCAACTTCTGACTTCAAAAGTTAACCATAATGGACCAAAATAAATATTTTCCCAAATGCATACAAAGAGAAAAGAGAATCATCCAGAAAAATATCTGAAGGAAGCAAAATTAGTTGTGCTGATTTTTTTTTTGGTATGAGATTTAACTATGTCTTGATAATAAAATGTCAAGGAGAATTAGTAGTTAGACAAATTGACCTCAATTCTGCATGTCATGCTCAACATGTATTGCTACATTGAAGTGAACATGGTGTAGGTTTTACCTCCAGCAATGGCTGTCCTGTCCCACCTCCACAAATAACCACTTGCCATGTGGGACAAGACCCTGTTATTCAATCTGTCCAAAGATCCTGCAGCTAGTTTAGTGTCAACCCAGTGTATTGCCATGGAAGAGTCGCTGGCATTTCTCACTTAGCAGACATGCCTGTAATGTGGGCACAGAAACAGAGGTCTCATAAGCATTTCCAAGTCTCATGGAATTATCCTAGCCAATATGATATTTCTGGCTGGCAAAATAGTATACTTCTCACATGAATTTTATTGACCCTGGCATGTAGAAGGAGAAACACAGATAATAAAGTTACAGAGGATATGAAAACTATGAGGGAGAAACACAGGGATTAATGACAAACTGGCAAGCCTTCAAAGTGCTCTGAGGTCTCTGGTGCTTAGAATGAAATTCAATCCTACTGAGGGCACAACAAAATGCCTATGCTTCAGTGTAACTTTGTTTAGGAAGCTTAAAACTCTTTCTTATGCTTCCCCTAGCATGGGCATGAATTCCCAACTTCAATACGTAGTCTGAAAAGACTTTTTTTTTAAAAAAGCTGAGTGAGAAAAAAGAACCAAAGAAACTAATTTAAATAATTTTGCACTTTAAAAAACCCACTGAAAGTGCTTTGAAATCTCCAGTCTAAAAGAAAAGATTTATATAAAGCCAACAGAAGTGGCAAGCAGTTTCAGGGCAAAACAAATATGCATAGTTTTCAACACAGATCTAATATTTAGGAATAGGAATAGCTGAAAAGAGAGACTAATTGTCATAACTACGCCTAACAAATGTTTGTGGGAATATATTTATGGGCCTAAAAAAAAGGTAATAAGGTTGAAAACTCATCACATTTCAAAAAGATTGGTTTTTGTGTTTCTTTAGTCAGACAGAGGTCCTTGGGAAGCAGAAACATTTAGAAAATTGTTACTGGTGTGTAGACATTGGGGCTTCCAAAGCACAAAAGAAACAAGAATGTAAGAAGTCATACATTTCAACCTTAGAAACTATAAATAAATGAAAATATTGAATGATAAAAACTTACAGGTAACAAGGATTTCAGAAGAACCTTTAACAGGCTAATGACAAGCAAACTCACCTACAACTGGACAAAAATATTTCCATTATTGTCCTACTGGACTGGGTGTTATGAAGTGGTATTTGACTGAAATTGTAACACCAGGCTAGACTGTCTCTCTCCTTGGAAACCAGGTTTGAGAGCAATATTTTCAGTAATCTGTTGGTAAAATTTTTCCAAATGTAATCCAGAGAGATATGACAACAGCCTGTTAGGGCCTAGGCTGTATATCTCCTCCTGTGTCCTCAAGGAGAGGATCTTGGAATTATGAATGCAAAGACCTGGCTGTTTCTCTCCCTTGTATGCTCCCCTCCTAAAAGCTCCTAGTTCTCTTCTCCTACAACTGTAAGTAGCAGACAAGATATTTTTTTCTCTCTCCCATCCCAACTGCTGTTACCTCCATGTCTGCCATACTCTGTTTTCTATTATCCACCTCAGACACAGGAAAGAAAGCATAAAGAAAGGAGAGATGTTGGCCAACACATGGGCAGCAGTGTCCCCGTGTGCACATGGGTTTTAGGGACAGAGGTTTTAGCCTATCATCTCTCCCTCGACTTGGAATCTGCTGTAACATAGACTGTCAGTTGCATTTAGTGAGATTATTCTAGTGCATGAATTTACTGCCACAAACACTGGTAAACATGAAAGTATGAAGGTATTGAAGTAAAAAATAAGTCATGTCAGTATAATGATGGTACAAACGAGGATGAGCCTAGAGTTGCTGCTAAAGGGGACTAACTCACACTTTGGTTTTATCAATATTTTTTTTCCACCTTCCCAATCTGGTATTCAGTATCCTCTATCCTTTTGTGAGGAGCCCTTTAAAGATGCAATAGATTTCAGAGCCTAAAAATGCACTATGTCAGTTATGATTACATTTCCGAAAATAAAGTTCCAAAGGAATTTTTTTCCTAAATTTGGCACCATTGCTTGATAATTATGAAGGCTTTTACACAGAGATAATTAAGTTTTAGCCTACATAAGGGCATTACAAAGAAATCATACCTGCAGCTTACCTCTATCACTGACAGGGAATGGACTTGTAAGTCTATATCCACAGGACAGGATCACATCAAGACTAGCATCCTAACAAAAAAGGATTTTAAAATTTTAAAAGGCAAATGGCTTTAAAGAGAGAACAGTAGCAATTTAAAATAGGTGGAGCCTGCCTAGTACCCATTCAAACATAGAAACACTGCACAGTTTTCAAACCACTTCTTAGTTGCTTTTGCAGACATTCCTCATGTTATTTGCAACACTGAGGGAAAAAAATATATAGAAGAATAATTAATGACATTAGCATATCTATTAGTAATGTTGATGAGCAAATAGTTATTCCTTAGAATTCTGTTCATTGGTACATACATAACACATTTTTTATTTTTAATTTACAGATTTTTGCCAGTCCACCACAATTTCTCAGGTAGATACATAAATAATAATACTTTTAGTCCTTGACTGGACAGGTGCAATTATAGAGCTGATGAACCACCAATTCCTTTAAATGGAGGAAACAGATAAATGGCATTAGAAATTGGAAAAAAAAAAGTCTCTTTCCCATTGTGTTCATTGCTTGAGGCAAGATTCCTTGAAAAATTAGACTTTTGCAAAATTTATTGACTATGCTATGCTGGAATTTTAAATTTAATTTTGTCTCATCCCATTCTTATAAAGAAATTCTTCATGTCTGGTCTTAACTGCAACAATGAAGCTAGATATTTGTGTGACTTATCTTGTTGTCTAAACTGGCATAGAGAACAAAGCCTTCAGAGGCCTTCTGGCCCACATGTTTTATATTGTTTCAGTATGCATGAGCTTAAAATAAAATATCAGTTGCACATGAAAGTTTAAAATTTACCCTCTATGATCATATATTTATTTAAAATTTATTGGAACGCACATATAAATTTGGAGCAAATATACCTAAAGCACATGGATCATTTTTGTGAATTCTCCAGACTAGTTTTTATATCAGGAGCTCTACACTCATTTATTCTTTTAAAAATACCCTTTCTGACCTGTCAGACTCCAGCACTCTGCTTTCAAGACTCCCTCCGGATCTATTCTACACACTTGACCCAGCTTATCTGGGAAGCCATAATCTTTTATGCTCAACTCTTAGATCTCTTAAGGCCAGAAGGGACCTCTATGGCTGTGTCATCTGTCTGCCCAAATATAAGCACAGAAGCCTCCACCCATAATTTCTGCCTTAAGCCCATTGCTTTCATCTGAATGGTAACTTCTCTTTTACAGAAGACACGTAATCCTGAAAGTCAAAATAGGCTGTAAAAGTGGGCATTGTCAAATCTCCCTGAAGCCTCTAGCAAACTATTTAATCAGAGGACTCCAGCACTGTAGCTGTTGTCTAGGAACAATTGTATTTTCTGCCACATACTACATGATCCAGAATTTGCTGTTCCTTCTCTTGCATTGCTTGAATACTTTCCACTGGACAGATTTTAGTTCATCTCAGAGCAAGCAGTGCCTTTGAACCACCTCTCGTGATGGGTTCTGCATATCATGGCAGGAAGTAACGTATAAGAACTTTCTCTTAACAACACCTAACACTTTCTCACAGGACGGAAAGTTTCTCCTGATCTTCTAATACTCCCTTCAGTGTCAAGGTGGGAAGGGATAGATAACTAGCAGGACTGCCCTTTGTATATATGTGGTGTGTTTCCACACAGCGTGATTATGTGGCTACTTTTTGTTTTGCTGCCTGACAGGAGCCTCTGCTTTGCCTTATGAAGCATCTCAGAATGAAGGGAAAGAACAATGTCACCGGGGAAAGAGGCTGAAATCACAGTAAGGCAAGTGTACCTGGTTTGTCTATACTGTCAAGTAGCTGCTGCTGCAAGAGAGAAGAGAGGTTTAATCTCCCATGTGCTGAATGCTCTAGCTGTTATGCTGGATTACTTTTAGACATGTTAAGCATCATCATAGCCTTCAAAAGGATAATGACTGTCCTAAAACTTTACCTTCCTCTTTTTTCCACTCATGAGGTTATTTACATGATTATGGCATTTAGCATTTGACCCAGTTATAAATTAAGGGTACATGTCTTTATTGTGTAATAGGAACAGAGAGAAAACAGAGCAGTCTAGAGAATATTTTCACACTTGCCAGAATGAGAGCACATGCAAGCCTAGTAATGTGAATCTTCCTCACCCCACAGGTTGGGTTTATCTCACAACTTTTCTACAATTCACTTCACCTATGACTTCCCACACCATCCCTACAGACTTGAAAGGTATCAAAGACAATATTGTATAAGACATTTCTCTTCAGTTAGCATTTGTCATTCATGTAATGCACAAATTTTCCTTCTAGAAAGGACATTTGTTGTCTATAAGGATAATTGTACTATAAATTTCACCTATTATGTCATATACGAAGCCCATCTGCAATTTCTAAAACTCTACAAGGTTCAACCCAGAAGCAAGACCTACCTTTACCATGTTCCTTAAACGTATCTAACAAACCCCTATCTACAAATAGCTCACAGATAGAAGGGGTTATAAATCTAAAGACAGGATGAAGAAGAAGAGCTATGAAATAGAGACCCATCAGGTAAAACAATGAAGTTTACTTGTAATATGTCTACATTAGGCATTGCTAATTAATGAATTAATTTCAAAATATTTCTAGGGTTTTTTGATAAAATGGGCTATATCTTTAAGTTTTCATTGATGAGTGTTGAAAATTTGTAAGCAATAAAAAATATTGCCATCTACAAGATAAGCAATTTTTCCCTCATTAAAGGAAAAGTAGCTGAGCCTATAAGCATAGAACAGATGTCTACTTTATTCTATGCCTTAGGAAGATTATTTGACAAATAATACAACTGGGAAAACCATCCCTTAGTGTTTACACTGCCTGTATACACTGCCTGTTAAGTACAGCACTGATGTTACCATTCCTTGCTTACAGCTGTTGACAAGTTTACACAGTACATTGTGATGTTCTGGATGATGTCTCAGAAAGCAAACTGAAGAGCTTAAGCAAATACACATCAGAGTCAAAGAAATTACAAGAACATTTTGTGGTTGTGTTTTGGGGGCTTGGGGGTTACTTTTCTGCAGAAGAAATAATCTGGTTTTTGTTAGATTTGTAATGAGCAGATTCACAGTAAGAATAGATAAAAATCTTTCTAATCTAACAACTACAGAATACCCTTGATAATAACTGAACAACTGTTAATGAATTCATTAGCATATAACAAAAGAAAATAATAGCCTCATTTAGCCATTTCGCACATTATTTCTGTGCAGTTTCAGCAACCTTTTAAAATGTGTGAAAATGAGGCAAATCTTGGATTTTAAGTAATATATTAATAATCTTCACTACATTAAAAAGTATTAAAATACACTCTTTTTCAAAAATATAACCAGCTATTCTCTTGGCTTGTTACTGAATAAATCAAAAGTGATGGAAGGAGAGTCCCAAAGAGCCCACAGTTAGAATTTGGAATACATTTTTTAAAAATCCAATTTTGTAGCTAAAATGTTTTAGGTCATGGCATGGACAGTATCTAATAGTTTTTTAAGATGTAAGACTGAGGCCCTCTTGTAACTGGAATAGAGATTCTGATGATGCTGTAATGGTATATCTATAAAGGGAACGGGCAATACAGGCTAAAGAACACTGTTATTTGGATACCACTCACTCATGCAGTTCGTCTAGGCAGAGAACTCAAGAATCCCATTTCACTTCTTTCACATAGCAATGAAGAGTGAGTGGACAGTTTTGCCCTTTGTATTACACAATAAACTGCATTTCATGTCCACTTACTTTGTTTATCTTTCCCAAATTCTGTCACACGCGTCCTTCATTATTATTGCTTGTAATGTACTTATGAGAGGTAGGACCCCAGTTACCTAGAGTAGCTCATGAAACTCCTTTTGATTTTAAGTGTCTTGAGATATGCTGTTTTGTTGATGTTAATAAGGAAGTTCCAGTTTGTTCCTGATGATCTTATTAGCCGCATCCCATCAGTAGACACAATTATTTGGGATCTTTCCCCAGCCCTCAATGAAGCATCAATGTCAGGACTTTCCTAAATGCAGCAGCCAGCCATTATGATCAATAAAGAATGAAGAAAAATCGACTGCTTGTGAATGGCACATCTGAGCAATCTATGTGAAGGTTTAGAAGGTAAATAGAAGATAAAGTACCATGATTCTGACAAAGACCAGAAAATGTTTACACTTCACCTTTCACTCTACTTCATGAGCTTTAAAAGGTCAGCAGCCTGTTTACACAAGGGAAGCACTTCTGGTTTGTGGGTATCTATGAAATACTGCAAACACTTAAAGTTGCTTTTTCCTATCAGTAAGGTGCTATTTTCCTTCTCCAATAAAGGACAAAATATGTGAAATTTTAGATTTAATTATAATTTAAACTCAAGGGGAAAACATGGTTCTCCTTTCAAATATGTCTAATTTTAAATATGTCTAATTAGGGATGATATTTAAGTAGAATTTACAAATGTATTTGTATATGCACCAATTTATACATATAAATATACACATATGCACTCCAGATACAGGTGCTGTGCAAATTAAACAATGTTGTCTTGTAAGTATACACAAATATACATGACTTTGGTTTGCCCAACAAAGAGTATTATAGAAATACAGGTGTAAAGAGTGAAAGAGTATGCCTAGTCATGTGGCCAGCACACACCCATTGTTCAGTAATTCAAAGAGAAAAAATATAAAAAATTTCTCCTTTCCTCCAGAATTAGCAATATAACTGGCTTGCCTTGAATGCAGAAACTTCGCAACACAAGGAAGCTGTAGAGGATGTATTCACTCTTCCAGAGGGCTTCAAAGCTCAGAGATATAGTAAATTCACCTGAATCAGCCAGTAGATAGGAAATGTGATCTCAGAATTGCCTTAAGTGGAGGAAACTGCAATTTAAAAAATCCCCTCTCCTCCACCGAGGTGTGTACATAGCAAGTAAGGCATAGAAGGAAGTGATAAACATTTTTTTTTTCCGTATTACATAACTATTGTCTTCTCTACTCTCTGGGGAGCAGTGACAGGACCTGAGGAAACAGCATGAAGCTGTGTCAGGGGAGGTTGTTTGAATATTAGGAAAAAGTTTTTCACCCAGAGGGTGGCTGAGCACTGAAACAGGCTCCCGAGGGAAGTGGTCACAACACCAAGCCTGACAGAGTTCAGAAAGTGTTTGACCAATGCTCTCAGGCACATGTTATGATTCTTGGGGAGGTCCTGTGCAGGGCCAGGAATTGAACTTCCATGATCCTCTGCTGGACCGATTCTGTCACGAAGAAAGCTTACCATGGAAAAGTATTAGTCTTTTGTAACCTTTCATAATCTTGACTTTTGTTTCAGAAGCGATTATTCTGAAAGGGAAATTTCGATGAGAAAACCAAACTTTTACCCCATTTGAACTCAAGATAAGAAATGTGAAAGGTGGGAGAAGAAAAATCATCATGGCATAATATGCCCACTGAAATGCACAGTGGTTTTACCTCTGAGAGCACATTTGGAAAGCCTGACTACTTCTGCTGACTCTGGAAAATCTCACCCAAAATGCAGATTCTTGTAAAGCAAACCATCAGTCAAACAAGTGAGAAGATACTAATTCCCTTGTACCACTGAATGACTTCAATACAATTTTGTAGCAAAGTGCTACTGGTGAATCAGGCAGATTAGTTATATGTGTGCGTACACAGTTTATTGGCTAGAGAAAAAGAATTTCAAATTACTTGAAACACATGCTTTTGCTTTGTATCTGTGCGAAATACCGGTCTTCATGGAACTAAAATTTTGGATGTAAACTGCCAGAATTCTTCACATAAATTATTCACAGTTGATAATTTCACTGGCTCTGGTACCAAGAACAAATAACACACTTTAAATACACTGCAACATTATATGAGCCAAAAGAGTGATGCTTCCAGCAACAAAATCACTGACAGTCTTGTAAAGACTGTTTGGCTAGCCCTTTAATGCTATTACCACCAGTACATCCTCTGAGAGCTTTGACTGGACAGGTCACCTGGCTGGTGACAAATTGTGGCACTTCAGCCCAATTTGCAGATTTTTATTCAACTCTGCTTTAAGCAGCCTTGTCCAGGAGGCCAGCACTGTCATGCAATATGTGCAATGAAGCACAACAGTAAAAGGATGGTATGACTGGACTGAGTGATGAATAGAGATCAGTTTGTATTGATGGACAGTATTTGTGCAGACACTGGAAGTTCGTCTCTATCCTTCAGGAAATCATAAGAGATGGCTGGAGGGACACAATATGGTTCTCAACACAAAGTTCCTATAGACAGTGAAAAGGTCACTTTTTCTCCATTCACTGCTTTTTTTTTTTTTTTGTATTTACTACAGTCCTTAAGATTTCAGTTCAGAAGTATCAAATTCTTGCCATTTTTTGCTTCCAAAAGTTCAAATTGCTACATTCCCATAAGTAATGCTTCTGATTTTATCTCATCTCTTGCTATCATTAGAAAGGACTTCCAGTTTGCAGCCACATCTTAGCAGAGGCCAAAACTGGGAGTTTGGCCAGTAAAATGTTTTTTTTATTACTATTTTCTAACACAAGATATACTTTAGGTCCAGAACAGAAACCTGTTTTAGCTTGTCAATCCTTCAAGATGTCTTCTGGTGAAATAAAATTTTGAAGTCAGTAATAAAACTCACACTTATTCTAATGGGACTATGATTTTCCGGATAATGAGGGCTGAAAGTATCAGAAGTAAATACATTCTTCTAAGGTTTCTCATCAACTCATCAGCACAGGAGGGTTAATCAGCTCAGATAAGTATCCAAAAGGAACTGGCTACCTAGCTGAGTGAATTCTGAATGTTAATTCTCTGCAAGGAAAAAAAATATAATAGGTTAAGTTCATAACCTCGTCTCTAGATTGAATTAGGTAAAATATTATGATGAGGTGATTTATAGCAATTGAAACTCTACTCCTATGGAGTGCAAGGATAGCAAAGATTGGTGAAGTAGCATGTTTTTAAGTATTAATCAAGGGTAATAAAACTGATTCCACTGTACAGATACAAATGATAAAGAAATTTAGGTAAAACATATTTTTTCTTCATTAGAGCACACATTAATCTCTACATGTTTTGGGGGAAAAATACTAAGATGTGTACGTCAAAAAACTAACTAAATAAATATGAACCAGAAGCAACTGCTCAGTGCATTTTCAAAGACTCTTTTGCACAGTATTTATGTTTGGCAGATCACCAGACAGCACAGCCATCAACAAACACTGAGAAACTGCCAACATCAAGATTAAAGAATTAAATAGCCCAAATGCACCAAACTCTCTTCTTTGAAGGTTTATTAAACTTTAAATAAGTTCACTGGAAATTAGAAATCCCATTTGTTCTGAGCCTTTTTGTGTCATGCTCCCAGACAAATGCAACACTCCATCTTTCAAAGGCAGGTATACTAGACAGCCCTGATCCACAAAGTTAGTTGCACTAATTTCGCTCTACCGTGTGTCTTTGCAGCAATCATGACTGCCTTTGGTCCTGAAGAGCCCACCTATTCTTAAAGGCATGTCAGGGAGGTTGAACATGCTCTATATCTCACAGCATCAATCCTTTTCTCTCTCTTTCTGTCTCAATAACTTGACCTTCTCTAGAGCTATGTAAGCTCCCTCAGTCGGGGTAATTATCCACTTAGTGAGTGGATAATCTCCAATGAGTTAATATCTTCTGTTGCATCTGTTTGTATACACTTTTGATGTCTTGTCCCACGTTCCTCCTCAGGAGAAAAAAACAACTCTGAAAACCTAACTGGTGCATGATTCTAATACGTTGAAATGAAAGCCTGTCATGACAGAACTCACCAAGAAATGCTGATCCCACTGAAATCAGTAGAATGTGCCCTGCAATGCAAAAGAAAATCATAAGGGGCATTTTAGGTTAATGCACAAACATCACTTTCTGCTGAGTTAAGGCTGTGTTTACCTTAAGGCAGGGCTGTCTGTAGGTAAACTGTACTCAGCCTGATAAGGCACCAGCAATTCTAAAGGCTCTTGCATTGCTGGAGAGCCTCCCGCAATTCTGCTTTTTCCTGTGAACTGTCAGACTGTAGTTGCAGAGCAATCGTGCTGCATTTCATGGATGAAAAGAGAGCATACAGAACTAAACCTGGCAATGCTAGAGGTGGCATCTTGCTTCCTACTGATCAGACTTCAGTAAAATTACCAGATTTCCATCAAATCACTTTGTGTCCTCAGTTAAAGTTAATTGCAAACCCTTGTCAAAGAATGAAGTTGCTATCATAATGGACTTGTATCGGCATCTAAAATTAATGATAATATACCCTGTTCAATGCCAGGAAAAATTAATATTACTGTAGTAACAGTTAAAGGCTTTCTCAGAACCATTAATTTCTACATCTACATAGTTTATTATTTTTTCAATAGTTTTTTTTACCCAGCATCTTGTAAACAGATCCTGAGATCTGATTGAAGTGCAAAATATTCTTTTCTGCATGTTTAGTCATTGAGAAGTCCCTCCTTTTGCTCCAGATGAAATCTTGTCTCTGCATAAGTGAGTGTCAAAATTAGCGTTGAGTTCATTGTGACTTTGAATTTCAGTGCTAGTCTAATTATGCACAAAATGCTGGCATTTATAAAATATGGCGTAAACTGTAGAGCTAAAAGTGATGACTGACAAGACTTTGCATGTGGGAAAAACAAAATGTAAAATATCAGAAAGGAAATACAGTGCTTTGGAAGTTTATTTGTTTGGTCATTATAACCCAGAATTTATTTAATCACTTGTACCTTTATATTTGTTGGTTATGCTAAAAAAAAAAGAAAACTTTTGGCTGTTTCTCAAATGAAGAGGTAATGTTCCAACATTCATTTTCAGCCAATTTGGTCTGGGTCTCTTTTTGGTACAGAGGTTAGCCAGGACTGTAAAATCTGTTTGCACTGAAGTAATATTCATATTAATGAGAATCGGTCAAATCTGTCTGGAGAAAATAACTTCTAAAATGTGCACAGGTTGGTACTATTAATTTCAGTAACAACAAAGTAATACTGAAATACCTTCCTTGAGAAAAAATAGGTTAGATCTCATTAGAAAAGTTAAGACTGTATAGAAGCATCTACATAATGTGAACATTGTTTAATCTGTACTACCAGATGTGCAAACAATTTCACATAAGATGCTGCTCCTCCAAGCAGTTCAGATGTATGAGTGTATTAGAAATTTTAGACTTACTGGCTTCAAGCCATCTATTGTTTTCAATAAATTGGATAGAAATGGAAGGCAGTTTCATCTTACACTAACCTTTTACAGTGTTTCTTGCCCTCTTGCGAATTCAGTGAACCTTCAACTGGCTACTATAAATTATCCAACTTTCTGCATTCATTTTCAGAACTCTTAAAGATTGTACCTCTCATTTTCAGAAGAAAATGTATCTTTCATCTTAAAGCTCATACCTTTCATCAACTACTGCACCATCACACGTTATTTCAGTGATTAAGTACAGTTATGAACCAGGACATGTTACAAAAGGCCACCAGAGCATTTAAAAATTGAGCAACTTGAAGGAAATTTATAATAAGATAGTCACACAATAAAGGCTTTTATTAATTTAATCATAAAATTCCCTTATTTTGCATGTTTTTGGGGTACAGAAAGCAGATTCAATTTGAAAGTAAGTTATAAGTAAAGTGATAAAGTAGTAATGAAAACAAAGCATTTCAAGTTACAATATGTAATAGCATTTTATCAGGTTGTTAGACAGACCTATGGATTTTATTACAGGTTATATTCCTAGCCACCGCTTGTTGTTAGAAATGAGATGGGTTTGTTCCGTTATTCTTACTATAATTTTTGCTCTTTTTTAATGCATTCTCAAGTTTTATCAACATACACAATAAATACAGTGGCTCTCCTGATTTCTTATCTAGTACTAAGTTTTTTTTTCTAAGGACCTCCAGGAAAGTTGTGTATTGTTTTCCATGAACCTCAGACTTCTTAATTAGACTTACACTTAGAAAACAGTTTTTTATTTTTCACCTTCACAACAGTGTTGAAATTTGATAAAGAGAGAATATGCTGATATAGAAATAAGAAATAGAAATTAGCCAATTACATGCTGATAATGGAAAAAGAAGGTACCTTCTATAGATATCAAATATTTAGCTTCTCCTCTCATTCTCATTGGATGGTCAACATCTTCTTATGCTAAAATTTTTGTAAGTAAAATGTCAAAAGTGTAACTTACATGTTTTATATCTGTGCATTACCACAAATGATTATTTTTAATGTATTATTTAATCATTTAAGTATTAATGAAAAAATAGATACCTGTGAAACAGTATGGTTACTTGGACAGATGTGATGGCAATTGAGAGAACATATAAAATTGAATGAAACACATGAAGCATCCATTAGAGTACACATGGAATCAAAGAGCATGACAAATCAAGCTGGGTGAGAAACCTAAAAACATTCGAGTTAGTCACCCACAGCTAAGAGCACACACTGTGTTGGACATATGAAAACAAGAAGGAAAGTAAATAGAATTAAAGAAAGGGAAGCAATTTCTGAAGGCACTCGTTTTGATGTCTAGAAGGTGCTGCTGAAGGACTGGTAATTTTCTATGACTGAAAATATGTTCGAGAAACTACAATTTGACATTTTCCACCCCACTCCATCTCACACATTTCTGCCTGTTGGTTCCTACACCTGTAGCAGATTTCCTTTTGGCCTTGGAAACACTAATAATGCAAATACTTCAAAAAGAAGCACCCAGCACTAGAGGCTTCAGTAAGATCACCTCTCTATAAAAGTGGTTTCTTAATTTTTCTCCCCTCAAAATCATACCCAATATCCTGGCCATTCAGCAATCTAGTCCACCTCAATAGTGTGCACAGAAGTTATGAATATATATTTAATTTGGTGTATAAAAATCACAACATGTTATGATCAAGTTGACTTTTGTCAAGCATTAGCGTAACCAGTGAGTTCTGCCTGTCTTCTCTCCAGGAGAAGAGTAGGTCTATTCTGTTTGGTCCACAAACATACAGGGATTTGTAAGACTTCTACCTTTTCCTCAAATTTGATAAAAACTAGTGAATAGGTCTCACAGTTTTTGGAAAGAGAGGGAAAGTTCATGAAACTGGTTAATGAACATCCTGCCAGCACTATCACAATAAATATTACTCCTTTAGGAAATCAGGTTAGAAGTACAAAAGGACACAAAATTTTGGAGGGAGAAATCGTCCCAGTGTTTACTCGCACCTGGTTTAAGGTTGTATGTGTTGCCTGTCTTGTTTAATAGGTGGGGAATATGGAGCTGAAGAGAAACACTCCTCACACACACCATTGTCAGTCAGAATAACCTTAATGCTGAGTATGGCATTTTTTTCTTTACAGCTGCAATTTCTATTCCTGCTGGGTTAATTTGTGGTTTGAAAATGTCTTTTGCATGAACGAGCATTTTGCTAGTAGAGAATGATTGTGCCCTAGAGCTCTGCCTCTCTGCATTTCGTCATATTATGTAACTACTTCATGTCTATAAAAGCTATCTTCCCGTGCAGTGTGTACATACCTCTTCTCCCCCCCCAAGGAAACAATTCCCTCCTTTGCTGACAGCTTTTTACCATTCGCACCATGATTCCTTCCCTCTTTTCCATTTAAGCTGGACCTGCCTTATCCTTCTAGTCTTTTTCATCCCTTCAGAATGTGAGCAGGCCTACCTAGAAATTCCTTAAATTCATTTAGTAGTTCTGTTGCTTCTGCTGCCTTATTGAGAAATAGAGATTTTCTTGGCAAGACAAGTATTTTGAGGACTAGATATGAGTCATGAAGTTAATGAGCAAAGACAGCATTAAGTCCTTATTATAAGGCATTACAAATAAAACAGTGGTCATCCTGCAAAAATTCTAGAAAACATATAAAAATTTTATTTTTCCTTCTCTCAAATTTAGACACCATGAAGTGAGAAAAGTGGATGTAGGAAGCTGACAAAATCTACCATTCAAAAGCAAGTGGAGATGCATATTCTTTAAGAAAACATCATTGCCTGAAGTATTCAAGGAACTAGTAGCCATGATTCCCTTGATATTGCTGTCTCACAAATACATAAAGACAGTTAATGAATGAATTTAGCTGTCTGGTTTTAGGACATTTTTAACCACTAACTATTTGCTAATAACTCAGTGCTGGAAGAGATAACATTGCCAATGGCATAAATCAAAGCCTAGTTATGAAGAATATTTCCAATATGCTACCCTTTATTTGAAATCAAAATTATTACTCTGCTTTCCTTAGACTAAAGCTTGATATTCAGCCACAAGATAGAAACACAACCCAAAAGTAAATATGAAATGTATTGGAATGCCAACCTTCTATTTATGAAGACAGAATGAGAAGGAACAGCACCTGGGTTTTTGCCACGGTTGTATTTCTTGTTAGCCAAGGAGGAAGAACGTGGAAGAGAACAATATTCTTGAGTGAGTTCAATTCCTATGAGCTGGGTGTTTTCCACAAACAGGGGTGGTGTTTGGATGATAATGGTAGTTTGCAACAGCAGATTGCTAATATATGGCTGATACAGTATCTCCTTTGGGATGCTGGAGGCAGAAGTGCAATTTTAAGAGATTCTTTCATGCGGATTTAGGAAGAAAGCTGCTCTTAGCTCCTGGGATTTGGAAAATCTTAAACACAAACCTAACTCCTCTGTTTGAGCTCTTTTTAGGGGAAAGAGCAGGCATACAGACGTTATGTTTTTCCATGCCACTTATAGCTGATCATTAGGGCAGCAAATTTACTATTTCCCTCCTTCCCCTGTGCAGCCATAAGTGGGTCACAGTCTGAGGAAAATGTTCCAGGGTGTGAATTCAGCCACTTGTATAAGATT